GCATAACTACGCACGACATCTATAAAGTATATTAATACCTGAAGCAAAAATTTTGTAACCCTTTTTACGAAAATTGCGCGGACGGAGGAGTATGAAATTTCCCACACTTATAGAAAATATAGAGGAGTGCAAAATGTTAATGTTTTTTTAAATTATACATAAAAAATATATTAAATCAATTTAAAAAAACATTACACACACTACCATGTGTTTGACACAAACACGCATGCTTTGACACCCTACACGCATGCATAGTATTTGTTTATTGTGAAACTTTTCTTACTGCTTATAGTCTATGGTCAAATTGTGAGTAGATTAAATTTTGTTTATCTTTAATATTTGTCTAAAGTGTAATCTTGGCGAAATCTATGATTATAGAAGTATTAGTCTATGACAATAGAATCATAATAGTGTACAAACTTATAATTTCAATTATTTAAAGTCGAATTTCGACAACCGGGAGACCACCGGGGGACAACATGCACAATGTTCCATAAAACATTATTTTATTTGGAATCAAAAACGGCAATTATCGCATCAATGTATCGAAGTGAACTGAACTTATTGGCGTAGTTGTTACTAGTGGAATGAGAATTGCTGTGAACTAATCCACGAAAAATACATTAAAAAATGCGTTTTGGTTTGAAGGGCGGGAAAACCGTTGAACGGTACAATTCGACTTCATTCTCTTGCCTCAAGGTGGTTCACGTCATTCACGCCCTGCCCTGGTGAAACTGGAAAGGCCTCCGGGCCACCAGTAATCTTTGAATCATAAAAAAAAAACCATTTACGTCTATAACCTTTTAACCTCTGGTCAAATCGTTCACCCACATACCAAATAAATAAAAAAAAGATAAAACTTTTGACTAAATAATCTCTAGACATATATACCTAATAATAAATACAGTCGACTCTCGTTAGTTCGAAACTTGAGGGACTCTTAAAATATTACGAATTATCGAATGTTTGAAATATCAAATGGTTCGAAATTTTTGAGAGAAAATAAATAAAACTTCGAATTACTAAGTATTGATCAATAATTATTTATTAACTGCTATTCTGTAACAATGAAAAAAGTTTAGAGTGTACATACATACATGTACCTACATTCGTATACATACATAAACCTATTCATAATGTAAATTAATTAATGTTTCGAAAGAACTCTGTTATAGTGGTTTGCTTCAAAACACATTGCTGCTGCTCAGACTGCTCAATAACTTTTTTAAGAGAAAAAGTGCCTGAAATGCTTTTTCATTACTTTCGTTACAATCATTCGACCTCTTTCTCTCTGCAACTTTGAATTGTCGAGTGTTGGACGCCGATGAGTTCGAATTAACGCGTCGTTTTATTATATAGCCATGATTTTTTCGTTCGAATTACCAAGTGCATAAAAATGTATTGATTTAGTTCGAAATATAAAGAGATTTTGTAGGGAACTCGTGATAACTTTGAATTATAAAGAGGTTCTAATTATCGCAGGTCGGAATTAACGAGAGTCCACTGTACATAAATACGTACGTACTTCCACGTATAAACATATTGTAAGGGATGGTACCTTCTCTTCTCTTATTACTACTTCATCTGGTCGCAGTTGTTAAATTAGCTTTAGTGTATGCGTTAGGATAATATATGTCGTTTTTAGTAATTAGAGCATAGGGTAGCCAACGGCCTGACTGTGCTACCTGGTATCGCTGTAAACTTAGAATGAAGTAATAGGAGGCGGTTAGCGACTTGGCTGTAAGCCTGGCATTTCTAATATCAATAATGACTGTAATCACGTCATTTTCTAGTGGTAGGACGTCTTGCGGGTCCGCACGGGTAGGTACCACCGTCCTGCCTATTTCTGTGGTGAAGCAGTAATGAGTTTCGGTTTGAAGGGTGGGGCAGCCGTTGTACTATTAAAACAGATACCTTAGAACTCTTGTCTTAAGGTGGGTGGTGGCATTTACGTTGTCTATGGGCTCCGGTAACCACTTAACACTAGGTGGGCCGTGAGCTCGTCCACCCATCGAAACAAAAAAAAAGTTCGGTCAAGTAGGCTACCCACCCACTCGTCTGTCAGCAACAAAAAAATGAAAAATTTGATGTAAAGTTTCATGCAAGTGCCAATTAGACCTTACTATTGTGGATCAAAAGTGGTTTGCGACACAAAATTATCTTTTTCGTTTATTCCACGAAAATTGTAAACTTAGTCGGTATTTAAATTTATCTAATCATCATAATACAACTATTGACTACATTGACTACAACCGCACAGTTTTGTTCTAATGTGAAACGTACGCTAAAATGGTAAAGGCATCGGATCCGGATTAGCACGCGTTCGTAATTTAATTAAATGTTTCATAAAGCTTAAACCAGTGCTCCCCAACCTTTTTTATGCCATGCCCCACTGTAACATTTCTAAAATCGGTATGCTCCCTATACAGAATTTTTAACATAAAAATTGATTTGTTCACTCAAGTAACATTAGTGATAGGTTTTAGAAAAAAATCACTATGAAATTGTTATCAAGAGACAGTAAGTAATATTTCTAAACATATAATAAGAAACTGATTTAAATTAAAAATAATTTTAATATAGATTTTCTATATAAATTTATTGCGATTGCCCCCCTTACTTATTAAATTGCCCCTTGTGGGGTGTGGAGCCACGTTGGGAAACACGTTTAAACCAATATAATTTGTGTGATATGATATTTGGTAAACATCCGTATTGGTAGTTTTTATTCTCAATCTTCCATTATAATCGATGATTTACAAGGTCGATAGATTTATTTTTAAATGACATATTATTGTGTATTTGTTGGCACATTCATCACGTACGTGTAATCAATATCTACGTAATTAATAATAGCTCATTGCTTGAAGATATTTAATAACTGTAACTCTGGAATTCGTGACTCGAATACGTATTGCTCTACAGCTTTAAACCAAGATCATAATCTTAATATTTATTTACAGAAAATTCCTTTTAAAAAGTCGTTGTTTCTTTAGTTGTTCGAGCGTAATGCTATTTTTCAACTCGCAATTTTAATTGCGTTGCAATTCATATTTAGATGTTTTTGACAAGGCTCTTATATCTCGCTAAGATAAATCGCCAATGTAAACAAATATAAATATACTAACGGAGCCGACAGCAGCGCCATCTGCCGGGCTGATTTGTGTATCTAAACCATCCAGGGTGCCACCCTTTTTTTTCGAATTTTAAACTTTAAATCGCTCCCGCTGTAGTATTGTAAAAATGTCACTTAAACCAAATAGCCTTCACCCCTCGAATGAAGTTTAAAAACTTTAAAATCACGCTTAAATAGCAAATCGAACTAACAATTATTGATTTAATTATATATTTTTTGTGCTGTTGATACTAATCAGGATATTAAAGCGAAGGTATAAAATTATTGCAATGTCATTGGTCCATGATACGTGTCCAAATAGTTAAGGTTAGTTGGACGTAATGTAGTCGATCAAAAGGACTATTGAAGATTCCGTTACATACATACATGCCAAGCTAATAAAAGCGTGTTAACAAGGCAAACATACGGAAAATATATTTTTAGTATTCATTTCTCTAAAATCAACCTAGATATTTCGGTCGTAACAATGTTTTGTTACACGAAAACGTTACTCGTTTGTACTTTCTCCGGCTAAACGCGTATACAGTTCGCAATAAAGCTGTCTGCGACTCGGTTTACGCTCGTGAGTCATACGATGCATCATCTCGGCTACGATTAGTAAATTTTAGCGCCAACCTTAGTACTTGATTCGGTTTTATTGGTCGTTTAATGTACTGTAATGTAGTGTACTTTATCTGTTAAATGCGTTTGTAATGGTGGGCGTTGAAGGGTATATTTTTGGTGATCAATATTTCACATTCCTTCTCCTCGGTGCTTTTTTATTTGTTTATTGCTTATATGGGTGGACGAGCTCACAGCCCACCTGGTGTTTAGTGGTTACTGGAGCCCATAGACATCTACAACGTAAATGCGCCACCCACCTCGAGATTTAAGTTCTAAGGTCTCAAGTATAGTTACAACGACTGCCCCACCTTTCAAACTGAAACACATTACTGCTTCACAGCAGAAATAGGCAGGGTGGTGGTACGCATGGGATTCGAACACCGGTGCATCGCTCAAAACGAATGCACCGGGCGTGTTCTTATCCTTTAGGCCACGACGCCCTCAAATTATCTGTTAAATGCGTTTGTAATGGTGGGTGTTGAAGGGTATATTTTTGGTGAAAAATATTTCACATTCCTCCTCCTCAGTACTGGGGGTTTGTCGCCTTTACGTGACCTTTACAGAGCATTTTTGTTCGGACTATGTTTCTCCATTCTTTCCGGTCTCCTGCGCAATGGATAGCGACATCGATGCTGAAGTCCATTGTCGTCTTAATTTGATCGGACCAGCGCATCAGACTACGCCCCCTTGGCTTCTTTCATTTCACTTCACATTGCGTACACATTATTGACTGACTATAAATAATTTATATAGAAAAACTAACCTAGCCTCGAAAGGGATACCATTTGAATGTGAGCACAAGACTGACTGCTTGAGCCTGAAGCGCCACGTTTTTTTCCTTAATATGACAGCGTTCTTATTGTCATTGATGACAATTTATTTTTCTAATAATCCTTGGTTTATAATGTAATTTAAGGTCAAGGATTATTTATGGCCTTATGTGTTTAATATACAAAACGAAAGTGAGGAGGGGGCGTCCTAACAAGAGTTGGATGGACTTTGTGAGTGAGTCATATGCGGGAGAAGGTTGTGAGTGGAGTATGAATAGTGACGAATGATGACATAGGCTTGAATCGATACAAAGGCTAGGCAGCGCGGATCCCACACAGTGAGATAAGACAAGCAGAAGAAGATACAAAATGGAAGTGAAAGTATCCAAAAAGCACACAACACAACACATTACACAACATTCTCTCATTCTGTTGGGACTCAAATGACCTCTTCTAACACCAAACCTAATATAGGACAATGAATATTCCAGAACACAGGTTACAAAGTAAAAAGCAACAAGTCCAAAAATGGCAGAGGTATACGGAGCCAGGAGACGAAATGGAAGCGTCAGCTTCTTCGCCTATGAAAAGATCATCTAGAAACTTGTCGGATGATCTTGAAAATGGCGATGATGACGACAGCCCCCTGCCGGAAGCAGTACTTACTACTAATTTAGGTCTAGATATAGTGGTCGTTGTTACAAAGGTGAGTTCATTTCTGTTATATAGAAGATAGATTAAGTGAGGCGATATCGGTATTTTCTTAAATCCCCTCCACCAAATCCGTTCGTAGTAGCGTATTTTTGATCATCATGAGCTATGGTATGAAAGGTAGGATTGTACTAACACATGTTGCCAGTTCGCAACATTCTTTGTCATTATTTATCTACTAGGCATAAATAATTTTATACCGAAAATTTGTCTAAAAAAGTAAGAAACCATACTGCTAATTTTTGGAAACATTATTCTAAAGGCCCCTTACTGAAATAGCCTTGAAAACACTCATGCTACTGAAATAGTAATAGAAAAAATTATCGGATATTAAACTAATAAATATACCAAAGCTGCAAAAAAAGACAGATACGTCATAATCGAACCTGGTTCCCGTCCTCACCAGACTGACTACATGAGCACTCTGGAGAAGGAGCACGATTACCGCGACGAGCACTTCGACTTCATGCAGCAGTGGATCCGCCGGTTCTGTCTGCAGTACGGAGCCGCCTTGTTCTACACCAGCGCCAAGGAGGACAAGAACTGCGATCTGCTGTATAAGTATCTGACGCACAGGATATACGGTCTACCGTTCAGGACGCCGGCGCTGATTGTAGAGAAAGACGCTGTTTTGATGTGAGTAAAGTCATTTATTCCACTATCGTGTCTGTCAATCTTTAAAGATCTCCTAACTCTTACTAGGTTCCATTCCTGATTGAGGCCATCAGCGCAATAGTGGCCTAACCCACATTTTTTTTATATTTAAGCTTATATGACGTAGGTATATTGGAATTTATTCCCGTCGCTTGCGACGAAGGGCTAGACGAGTAAATTAACCCTCAGACACAGCCCACTGAGTTTCTCGCCGGATCTTCTCAGTGGGTCGCGTTTCCGATTCGGCGGTAGATTCTGCGAAGCACGGCTCTTGCTAGGGTTCGTGTTAGCAACTTCGTCAGGTTTGAGCCCCGTGAGCTTCACCTACTAGTTAAGGTTACGCTGAAATAGCCTCTCAAGGCTATCAGCTTAGGTAGGAAAAAAAAAGGAATTTATTTAAAATATAATAAAATTTGATGCAAAACCCGCCTGTACATAGTTTCACACATAAATAACAGATAGTTTTGTAAATATTATTTTTGCGCGTATTGTTTTTTTGCCTACTCAAATTCAAATTCATGAAAATTCAAACCTAAATGCCTCCATACTAACTATAGTAAGCTTAGGCCACTTTTGCGCTGACGGCCTCAATTGTTAAAGCACGAAGTGTCATTTCTCATTGTTCTGTTTCCCAATTTCTTATAATCCAAATTTCGTCACTGGAGTAATTGCATTTTATGAAATATTTTATTATAACCGTCTAGTCGTCGGTCTGTTGTCAAAGCATTTGTAAGGTAAAAGAAAAAATCAACTGAACGTGATGATTTGCTTTGTTAGTTCATATTGATCCGTTTTGGATACACACTATACATAGAACAAGAAATCATCATAATGGGAGCAAATTATTTATTTATTCCTAAAACTAGACATGAATCCCCAAAAAGGTTCTCAGTGGAATAAATTGCATCAGCATAAAGCTTCTGTTGGGTCTATATGACCGCACAAGTTGATGGGGACAGACGCATGATAAAGGAAGTTCTGTGAGGATTAAGCATTATAAAATTTCATCATTTTGTCATTAATAAAAATATATTTTCATTTTAATAACATAAAACTGACATTAGAATTGTAAATTTATTTGTTTACTTTCAGACCAGCCGGCTGGGACAGTATGAAGAAGATTAGCATACTATATGAGAACATGCAGTCATGTAAACCTGACGATTACTATAGGGATATTATTGTACAGCCCGCTACACGTAAAGTGAGTTACAACATCTACATTAACATATTCGCCTTCTTAATTTGTTCGAAACCACATAATGGCTGATGCTATTGCGAGATTACTCATTTGTGGCAACAAATGTGCTTCTAAAAAAAAATTTTTTTTTAATGCTTAGATGGCTGGACGAGCTCACAGCCCACCTGGTGTTAAGGGGTTACTGGAGCCCATAGACATCTACAAGGTAAATGCGCCAACCACCTTGAGATGTAAGTTCTAAGGTCTCAGTATACATAGGCGGCACTGAAAATTTCGGGAATTAACGAAGTGACACAACATTACTGTTTAAAAATGTATTTATTGCTTTTCGAAGTATTCTCCGCGAAATTTAACACATTTTTCCATACGATGGAACCAATCATTGAAGCAACCATTCCATTCGGAAGTTGGGGTTTCCAAAATGGCCGTTTTGTAGGCGTCCACAGCTTCTTCAGGTGATGAAAATCTCTGTCCACGCAATTTATTCTTTATTTTAGGGAAAGTATAGAAATCATTAGGGCTTAGGTCAGGGCTGTACGGCGGATGGTCTAATAATTCTGTGTTTTCTTGCTCTAAAAACTCTTTTGTTCTGTGCGCGGTGTGAGAACTCGCATTGTCGTGATGGAGGATGATGCGGCGGTTGCAGTTCTCTTTACGCAGTTCAGAAACGACCTGTGGCAAACAAATGCTAGCATACCATTCTGCATTAACCGTTCTTTGTCCCTCAAGAGGAATAGTCGTAACATGGCGGGTTTTGGAGACAAACGTGGCCACCATTTTTTTTGCAACACTCCGTGAACGAACATTTTTGTTGGCTTTTTGCAATATGTCATGTTTTTCCTCACTTTCTACATTTCATCTCCGGATTCCATCTCTGCTCGTATGAGTTTTGTTGCACTGTTGTTCCACTTGCAAATTAAGTGATTCATAATGCCTTTTTTGCTTTAATACTATTCTCATGAAATTTAGAATGAGAATCTGGAAGTCACTGGCCACTTTTTTACTGGTGGTAGGACTTCTTGTGAGTCCGCGCGGGTGGGTACCACCACACTGCCTATTTCTGCTGATCTCGCTTTTGGGTGAAGTATATATGTTGACATGAGTGTGTTTCGGTTCCTTCAGAGCGGGGGCAGTCGCGAGGCGGAGGTTCAGGCGGAGGACGAGCAGACGTTCCTGCAGCGGCAGGTGGCGGCGCTGCACGCGCTGGGCGCCGCCCCCCCGCGCGCTGACTCCCCGCTGCGCGCCTCGCCCCGCCCGCACCAGGTGCGCACCCTACACCCCCTACTATACACTACGTTATCGAATGAATGAACCAGAAGCGTCACGCGCGAAAAATTAAAAAGGAGTTCGATGTGTTTTTTTGGACTTCTAATTACCGAGAATAATACACCCCCCCCCCCCCCCCGTCAAAAAGCGTCTATAGTTCATTGAAATTATAAATTTGAACATTACTATGGTTCTATCGTCAAAGTCTATAATCACACCGATTTCGCCAAGATTATATTTAATTTATTCTCAATTTGACCACAGATTAGCAATAAAAAAGTTTCATAATAAACAATGAATAGTAGGCATGCGTGACTGTGTCAAATACATGGTAGTGTGTGTCATGTTTATTTTATTGATTTAATGTATTTTTAGGCATAATTTAAAAAAAATGCATTCTGCATTCCTCTATATTCTCTATAAGTGTGGAAAATTTCATTTCATACTCTTTTATCCGCGCAATTTTCGTAAAAAGGGGTACAAAGATATTGCTTCACGTATTACCGATATAAAATGTTCGCTAGCCTGTTTTCTGCGGTTGATCCGGTTGACGTGTTCGTATTTGAATGTAGAGTTTAAGAGAATAAGTTTGTGATCCAAGTGAAGACATGTTTTCTCACCTTTTTTTATGAACATTGTTCGGACGATAACGGATATTAAAAACAAAAAGTTACTCAATCGACACAAACTTTTGAATTTGGATGGTATCATACATACACAATACAAGTATACAAGTGTTAGTTCATTCTAATGTGATCAATTATCCGAACAGTCAGAGATCGCGAGGATCGGCGTGAGTCCGGGCACGCCGGGCAACGAGGGCGTGCTGGCGAACTTCTTCAACTCGCTGCTGTACAAGAAGACGGGCGGCGGGGGCGGCGGCGCGCGGGTGGACGGCGCGGGGGGGGCGGCCGCCGCGCGCTCCGACGCCGCCGCCGAGCTCGACCGCCTCACGCGCACCAAGCGGAGCCCGCTCGACCTCAACTCGTCCGACTGCTAGGCGAGCGCCGCACGCTGCTAGGTGAGACTAGACTCCAGGCTGGCGATGACGAGCTGGACCTTAAATATTCACATCCTTACATCTTTGCCTATTTCTGCCGTGAAGCAGTAATGCGCTTCGGCTTGAAGGGTCGGGTAGCCATTGTAATCATAGTGAGACCTTCGAACTTATATCTCAAGGTGGGTGGTGCATTTATGTTGTAGATGCCTATGGGCTCCAGTAACCACTTAACACCAGATGGGCTGTGAGCTCGTTCACCTATCTAAGCAATAAAAAAAAATCTTATTGAAGTGAAACTTCTAATGCGACTTCCAACAAGGTTGCTTTTTTTTTTTTTTTCTTACCCAAGCTGAGAGCCTTGAGAGGCTATTTCAGCGTAACCCTAACTTTTGTAGGTGAGCTCACGGGGCTCAAACCTGACGATGTTGCTAACACGAACCCTAGCAAGAGCCGTGCTTCGCAGAATCTACCACCGGATCGGAAACGCGACCCACTGAGAAGATCCGGCGAGAAACTCAGTGGGCTGTGTCTGAGAGTTAATTTACTCGTCGAGCCCTTCGTCGCAAGCGACNATCGGAAACGCGACCCACTGAGAAGATCCGGCGAGAAACTCAGTGGGCTGTGTCTGAGAGTTAATTTACTCGTCGAGCCCTTCGTCGCAAGCGACGGGTTCGACGAGAACGGTGACCGGTGCTTGAAGTACCTAGAAGCACCGTTAGTGGATCGGGAGGATCCGAGATGACGTGTTTTGGGCGACGTCGACCGCTTTCCATTCTGTCCGCAGGATCGGGAATGTGTAAGGTTGCGATAAACGTTTAACGCTACCATACTAGAAAGAGACAGAGCGAGAGTGAATGCGCGGCACTCGAACGCATGCGCGTAGTATATCTGGACAGCGCGAGTGTTAGCAACGAGTAGCGCCTAATATTTTAATGAAGTATTTAAAATATAAATCTACATTTATTTTTCTATTTATAAATTAAATATACCCATATAATATAAATGTTGAAGATGTCGAATCTCTTATACACGGCATTCCCTTATTACAAGAGCAATCTGATTTAAGAATGAAAAATGAAGAAAATCCCAACAGCTTTAATAACCGGCAAACTTCTTGAGCATTTGTCGACGTAGTGGGGGTAAGTTTGCGCATGGTACACTCACGTGCAAAAACATTACTTACTCTGCGTCATAATGCTATTAAATTATTAAAATCAATATATGTATTTATTTATATATTTATTAGAACATCAACAAAACATATAGGTTAATAATTGTAATAATTTAATCTTGGGGTAAAATAGATATTCCTTCTATTAAGTCAAAACTAGAGCTGTTGCCAGGTCTTGGTTCAGTTAAAGCGAAGCTGGTATTTGTAATTTTTTTTTCGTTATCATAATCTTGACCATCATCATCATCACTGTTTTCATCACCCGAGTCGCTATCATCGTGATGAGTCGACATAGGGCTCATCGGCGTAGTTTACAACTCGGTCGATTCGGTCTTCTTTTTTGTCTATAATTAATTATTTTTTGAAGATATTCGATTCGTAGTAATCGAATGTTACTTTTTTCATTTACCAGCTTCCGATTATTTTCTGTTCTTTTTTTCCATCTGAAGCCTAGCTCTTTCATAATTCGTCGTAAGCTTCATTCCGAGCCATTAAAATTTATATCTTCTTTAAATTTTTCGAAGCCTTTCTACGGTACGGAGTTTCGCTGCTTGTTATGTAGTTATTATGATTACATCTTTTTATTACAGATTGAACGAAACTATCCATTCCGGTAACTTTCTTCTTCCCTGATCTTTTCTTACCCGGAGTCCGAAACACGGCGAGCAAGCCAGAGCCTTTAGCTTCGTTAATAATGCACCTAACAGTACTCACTGATGTTTTTGTTGCTTCCGAAGTCTGTTTTAATTTTTCCATATCATTCTTCCCCTGTTTTATAATGAAGCAATATACGTCGTACACAAATTTTCTACCCTTTCTTTTAAGTACTACACCAGTTTGTCACGGCATAGTGTATGTTTTATAAAAAATCAACAAACACTCAACAAATAGCAATGGCAACAAAGTCCACAAGCAATTATAACAAATAACTTAACGATTAATAACGATAGACTTTCCACTGTACGCAAGCGTACTTTTGGGAGCAAGCGGAACGAGGGCGCGGTGCGGGACGCAAGGTTCGACTGATCTACCAATAACGCGCTCGATACGATGTCCCCTGCCGTCGCGCCTCACCCTCACCACCAAAGTGACCTAAAATTCGGTTCTGCGCAGTCAAGGTCATTTGCTCAAGAAGTTTGCCGATTACTATACTACACATTGAAAAATAAGTTTCACTTCATTCACGTGCACCAAGTTGCACGCCCACCGTTTCTTTTTTTTCTCCTTTATTTTTATCCAGTTTTTCAGGTCATTATATTTTTCATTTTACCTACCATAAATACCTATTTAACATATTTTTCCAACAAAATTTTCCAGGTACATAAGTGAACTTTTGGACGCCCACAGAAGCGTCCCCACCGCCGGGAGCGAAGCTTGCGCACGCGCCGCGTCCCCGCCCCGCCGCGCCCCCCCGCCGGCGCCCCCGGGCGGCCGTCGAGCTCACTCGGTTTTGGTTCAGACAGAGATTAACGTTCTATCAAATTTGAAAAAATGAGTATTCGTGACGTCACGGTTGTGTAAACAAAAATGAAATTTAATTTGTAAAACTCCTTTTCAGTGGAGCTTGTTTTATTGTGTACTTTTGAAGGCAGCTCAGATACGACCGTGACCGAGTGATCTCAACGCAGCCACGGGACTTTCGATCGAATATAAACACTAATACGGTGCAAACCGATTTAGCAACCAGCAAGTGAAATTGTATTGTTTATTTATGAGATACTAAACATATGGGAAGGCAAAGGAGTGCTTTAAAAAAAACCGTTTAGGTATGACTTCCATAAAAGAAGTGATAACCCGTTATTACTGTTTAAAATATTTCACATCGGCACTTTATGCAGCATCACAAATCTCCCGCTGCCTACTGAACCCTGGCGCTCCCGACCCGATCGAAACCTTCATAATAACCGACGGTTTTTATTTTTGAAATATTTGTTTATGATATTACAAAATAAGTATTTATTTATTTACATAGAACAAGTTTGGAAACGTGCACTGTATTTTTTTTGTTTAGATAATTATTACGTTAATTATTAATATTTTCATCTGAGATTAAGAAGTTCGTGTGTGTGATCTTCTGTGAAGACTGTTCAATTATTGGACTAGTAAAAACTATATCGACGCTTGAAAGGCAAAAGTGACTAAGCGACAATAACGGCTTTGTACATAAATGATAGGCAATCACCATATTCGATGCGCAAAAAAAATATATTTCTAGGACTATTAAAATCATTTCAATCCTACAGCTACTAGCTAGATTCTACTACAGCTGGATTCGTTAAAATAAATTTTGTTTTCAGGTATTTCAACTTTAAATTAGTCTACTGTAAAGTTCACGCATTGTCGCTTAGTCACGTTTGCCTTTCAAGCGTCGATATTATTGTGGACAGCGGAGTCGCTCGGGCGCAACCATCGCCGCGAAAGTGGTCTTTGTTAACGTGACGTTCTAAATTCACGAAAATAAAGTATATAAGATCATCTCTACTTGAAACGACGAACTTGTCAAGTTTAGTAGATACTAGATAGTATTCTTTTAGTAGGCAAATAGAAAGACATGAGTGAACGAAGGGGATATGATACAATCTGTTAATTTTGATAAAACTGGCAACACACTTTTGTTACTTATTTTTGAGATATTATTCGTTTGTGGCTGTTATTTTTATTTTTTTAAACGTGAAATTATAGCACTTCGATTTATTTACCAATATGGAGAAAGAAAAAGAAAAAAAATAATAAGAATATTGTTTTATTGAAAAAAATACGTTAAGTGCCCATGTCACTTTCATTCAACGTGATACTTTTTTCTTCGTCACGTGCAATTTCTAAAAATAGCCTTTAAACTCGGAGTTTTAAGGTCTAATATGGTTTATGGACACGTAACACCTTCATTCAATAAAAAAAATCAAAAATGTTAAAAATGGTACTTAACCCCTTCACACACTCGTTTCTTCAATTCGTAATTACATTGTGCAGCGAGCAATGTACGTATTCCCAAAAGTGAAGGTAGCTGGTAGAACTGCTGATACGACACCACTAAAATTATGCTCGAAACCTCTAAGTGGTTTATAGACATTGTTTGGAATGTAACAGTATCTATAATTCAGCTGATGCCCGGAATAATTTGCATTACATTGCCGTTTAACTAAATATTAATTTGTTTATGCCGGATTTTGATGGAAGAAGGTAGTTTTTAATTTTTGATACGGCTTTACTCTTTACGCTCTATGTACGTTTAAGTAACCAATCGATTGCACAGTTATATAACACAAGAGCAGGGTGCTGAGATGTTTGGGTAACAGAGAAAATCATTTAAAAAAAAAATTATTACAGAGAAAACCAGTTTCCTTTGGTCTTTCAATATAAATGTCACGTTAACATAGACGATTTTATATATTACTTATTGCGTTTTTATTAATATGTATATTTGCTCATGTGTGTTAATTTATTGCTTTTCTCTCGATACGTCAGATTGTAATGGTGACCTTTACTGTGTATGTAATCGAAATTATCGTAAATTTTAAATGTGTTATAATAAATGTATTTATTGGAGATTATTTAAAAAAAAACACCAATCCATACTGTATACTGTGCGAGTGTTGTGAGAATGAAAAAAATGATGTTCAAACCTGGTGCAATACTGAACATTCCAAACTTGGTTTGGTGCTTATTACTCTAGTAAAAAAAACACTGAATTACATTTGAAGTTTCATTTAATATTCTTGCCCTTTTAGCTCTCTCGAAACTTAAAGGTCACTATTATTTTCTTTGCTCAGTTTATTAACCCATTAAAATATCGTATTGTCTAATAGAAATAATGTAATGTAAGGAAGAGTATTAAAGGTTAAGTGAAAATACCGGGATCATAACGTGTTAGGCGTAAAATTAAACGCTAAGGCAGGTTTCTGAACGAATTGCTGATTTTCACATATAATGCAACAATCGATTAAACAATCTCCTTTTAATGTTTGCTAAACAACTTAATGATAATCCACAGTCGATACAGCAACACACAGTAGGTAATGCGTAATCGTTTCCAGTCAAAACATGAATTATCAGAATGTGGAGAGTTTAAGTCTTCGTTTTCCAATTAGCCATGGTTAATAAGGTGACCGATTTGTAAGCTAAAAGGAAATGACGTAAATGATCAATCACTTCACGAACGAAGTGTCTGCGACCCACGCGAAAGCGGCTAGAGTAGACCGAGACCGCGGGAGAGTCCTACTGGCATTGGGAAAATCTATCCATCACGTATCAACAGAGAGGCGAGCACGATTGACTTCGAAAAAGTATTCGTATCGCTATCGGGAAAAAAATGTATAGAATTTAAACAGCGCCCCTACCATTCGTAAAAATAATTAATTAACACGAATGAATTTACTCACTTTCGTTTCGCAATCGAATCCTCACATTCTCGAAACTCGATACTTATACTCATAATTGAGAGCACGAAAATTGTTTTGACATACGGTAATGTAAATCTCGAAGGCTCGCTATCGAGTACTACCATCTAATGTAATGATCCGTTATACATTTACATAACGAATTCGATAGATTTTCGTGCTGGACGTACTGGGTCGAGCATCGCAACCACTACTGTCTTATTTTTCGGGAACGTACCGTTATAGGCAGCCGGCTGTATCGTGTGCAACAAAACGAGACTGGAATCATTGCGATTTGAAACGCTTGTTAATCGCGAGCCAAAGCGTCATGAAATTTGATGAGGTTGGATTGTGTTATATCACTTATTGTATCACGGTCTTTATGTAAAATATGTACTTAATAAATTAACAATGCAATTCACGTAAAAAACGATGTCTATAATAAACGGCAAAAGCATAGCTTTTTATAAGTATTTATATCAAAATAACTTGGGATTTACAAATTAATTTATTAATAATTGTTAGCCTAGGTATATCATATTTGATGCGTGATTCTTGCAGACTCGCCTTAGAACTAACTCGGGGTTATTATCAAATCGAAATGAATTTTCAGTGTCAACATACCGAGTATTTTGTTTTGCTCACTTTAAAATATTAGTAGTGATAATACTTCTGAAAAACAGTTTCTAAATTAATAGTTATTTGTTTAATTAAAATTTTAAGTAAGGTTGGTTTTATGAATTGTTTATCGAGACGACATGATGTCGTATTGGTAACACAGCTGAAGTTTAATTGTGAAACTTTCAAAGGACATAAATTCGTGATTTCTTTATCATTATGAAAGTCTGTCGAGAAGGAAAACGCTTATATTAATCATAAAATTGTAAAACAATAAAAAAAAGAAATTTTGATACGAAGCGTTTGTACGACTGACGAGAGGCATGGCGCGACTTAGCTGATAGGCTTTGTCTATTTTTCTATAGAGGATCAAGTTAAGTGGCTAAATATACTGATATAAAATTCTGGGCTTTGAAAATAGCAAAATCCTAAGCTGATATCGGACTACAGGATTATAAAATACCTTTGTTCCAAGGGGCTCATATTTGTCTATCGCTTATGCTTTAAATAATAATAAAATATAACAAAAACGCCCACAGAAAAATAACCTTACCTTGAACGGTAAATAACAGCTTAAAAACAAACTTGAATCGCCAAGCTTTCCCAATTTATTGCGGAGCTATGCTAGTGGAATGGGATGATTCATAAGCTATTTGGATTTTTTATAATTATTTTTGAAAAACCGATGCAAAACTAGTGATAAATTAAATTGCACATTTTAATTGAATAATTAATATTTTAAATTCGTTCTTTATTAATGTCAAAACTGTATGATTAGATTTCTTAAGACTATTAAGATTAGTGAAGTTACAAGATAAGCGTTACAGTGTAATGGACATTAATGCGTGGATAATGTCATTGTCATGGTGACATTGCAGGTTACAACAGCGGTAGTATGAAACTGACGTCAAACTTTTTAAACATACATATTAAATAAATAGTTTCACGGTAAAATATTTTAATTAACCAGTTAACTGTGCTTGACGAGAATACTCGTCATGGAGAAGCTCCACGGCTTTGTGTGTATATCTATTTTTAAACCTATACAAACTATATAAATTTAATAATATTCATCATGCGTAAAGCGTAGTGTGACCATTGGCTATAATTTTTTTATTTTTTTAATGAAAGAAACAAATTTTCAAAATAAAAGATGTTTATAATAGTTTCAAGCCAGTCTAGAATAAACAGAAATATGGCACACGGAGTGACACAGTGAACTAGTTAATACGAATCACAAAATTGTTAAAACAACAAATTGTACCGTAACACTATTAATATTAATGAAATGCTGTTCAACATTGCTCTTTTAGGAATCTGTTCTTTAAAATACAGTTCTGGTTTCACTTTTTTTTTTTTTTTCTACTATTTTGTACTAGTCAAAGTAACGTTTTTTTTTTATTTGTTTTTCGTTTTTTTTTCTGTGATAAGATTTTTAGAACAAAGCGACCAATATTGAATTGTTTGTTAGCCACATAGCGTCCTCTGTTAGGAATTCGAATTTTCACTGTATGATTTGTGTTTTTTTTTGAAATGACAAATTGATTGTCACTGTCAGAAAACGGCATGTCCCGATTTATTTTCTCTAGGCACTTTATTAATGCTTTAATCTCCGAAATATTAAAGAATGTTAAATATTTGAAATTCAACTATACATAGAGCAGGTACATAAATCGAAAACACAAAAAAGACAGTTCTTGCTTCGATTAAAACTAGTTCAATTTCTTTTCTCTATTCAAATAGATTCCGCTCTTCATTCTGTAATATGAGCATTTAAAAGACGATGCCAATGCCAATTTACCCTTTCTTCAGCCGTCATTTTTACACACGCTGTTGAAATAAAACGTGCGAGGAAGATGCAGATATCAAAGCACGTGATGTATAGAGATGACGTAATGAATATCGTTGTTTTTTTTAAACGCTAATACGGTTTTTCTACAGAATTTGTTAAGGCTTAGTGATTTTATTATTATATTAAAATAATTAGATTCTCAAACGAAGGTTTTTTTACGCTTCGCCGTAGATTAAATTCCAATATATAACATAATCAATTTAGTTGAAAATAATATTTAAATAAATCTTTTATAATTTAAGTGAAGTAATAAATAAAGTAATACGTTCAATGAACGATTATAGTTGTAATAACGTTTAATAACGAACGGTATTGTTTGTAATAAAATGATTACATTAAAAAAAACAGTTTGCATCAATAATGTTTTTGGTGACATCCTTGTTATGTTTTCGTTCTAAATAATCTAGGAATGTAATTTACTAAAAGCTGCAGAATCGGTTAGAGTAAAATTTGGATAAAATAGTTCACAATATGACATATGATTTTAGCCTAAAAAGTTCAGATTCAGGCAAAGCTTAGGTTGCACGTCCGCGCTGGGCTACACTTTATATGTCCATTTTAATGCTGCATACCGGAAACTTCTCGACAAGCACAGAAGCATTAAACGCCCGAGTTTAAGATACGCCAAACCGTCCGTAAACTATCAGATTTAAAAAAAAAAACATATCTATAAGATCTTTTGTCGGGCCTTCAGTATGGTAGTTTTCCAATTACAGCACAAGAGCGCATTATGAAAACTACCATTAACATGGTAGTTTTCCAATTACAGAGCATAATGCGACTCAGTGACGCACAATGCCGAATTATGCTGAAGCTTAGTTGAGCATTATGCCGCATAATGCGCTCTTGTGCTGTAATTGGAAAACTACCATTATCGATTAATTGACACTTAATATAATCTGTACTGGTAAAGGCCTAGCAAAATTCAGAATAGACCATTAAATGTTTCGGTTTGAAGGGCGTCACAATTGGTATCAGGTACGTCTGAAGGTGGGTGGCACATTCACACAAAGATGTTCGTGAAAATGCGAGATCAACCATGAAAGTAATTTTAAGTACTGTAGTCCCTATTCTGCAGCTGAATCGCAATCTGATTTCACTTATCTCTGTAATTTATTTTACAGGCAGCATGAAGTGGTTATTGTAACTTGTTTTTTTTTTTTTTTAATCCCGGGAATCGCTTTTTATAATAATATGTGAAAAGGCGATACTGTACAGAAATTAATTTTTAAAATAAACTAGCGCAGAAACTGTTCTGAACGCGGAGGTGTTTTATTGCATGTCGCACGTATTTTTAATACGAATACAAAATTCTTTCAACAGACAAAAGAAACCTACCAATCGGAGCATTTCAAAAGAAAGAAAGTTTTCGGCAAATAATTACTCAGTGGTAACATAGAATAATCATGCTACTATTTTTTTTTGGGGATAGTCGATAAACCAAAAGCTTCAATCAGCGTGAAATCGAAGGAACTAAGATGAAGGGTCCGTTCACACAGACCGGCTCGGAGAGGAGAGCAAATTTTATCACGTTGGAAACAGAGTTTTGAGTAATTGCAGTAAAGTTTATTTTTGCATGTGCATATTTTTGTCATTAAGAATGCTTAAATGCGCTGCGTATGAAACAATAAGAGGAGCCGACCGGCTCCGATTGCGCGGTCCCTTTCTCGCTCGCGTAGCTGCTTTCAGATCTCTTCCACCCGGTCCATGTGAAATAGTTGGCGGCTCCGCTCTGGCAAATTCCAAACGTATACGATCCGGTCTGTGTGAAAAAAAAAGCGGGCTGATGCTCCCCGAGCCGGTCTGTATGTCCGGGCCCTAGACATCCGTACTCTCATTGTGAATTTGTTTTGCGGGTCGTTTGTACAGAGCTAGCGCTCATAAATATTATGAGTATTATCTATGGCTAGCGCACCGCTTCTGGTCATACAATCAATATTCGTTATCAGTTACGAGTGAATAAAATGTTTTTGGTAACTTACACAAGGCTTTATTTCTGATAAATTTTTTTAGCAATATCGATTGTACTACGTGACACCTATAGCGTGATTCGAATCTTGAGGTAATGTTTCCAAATAAAATGTAGCTAATGCAGGATTATTGCCAAGATGAATTAAATTAAATCCCGAATAAGTCATCAAAACACAATTTTCTCAAATATTCATATTCGTTTAGTCATTGATAAGCTCACAATCTATACTAATAATTTCATAAAAGAGGAGAAACGGCATGGATCTAATTTCGTAGTACAAGTGAAATTTCGATCTCGTGTTGAGACATTCGTATCTGATGGCATTCACGTTGTGATGTCTTTTGGATGCAGTAACCACTTAAAGGTATATTCATTTATTTATTAGACTTCATGTAAAATTTATATTGGTGGACTTAATGGTAAAGGCATTCTCTACTAATAAAATCAAATAAACTACCAAATACCAATCAAATAAAATACGATCGATTGTTGGCTGTATTTCTTTGTTGTGTTGGAAATTAGATACCGTAAAATGGGGCGATTAGGGACAAATTCCAACTTTATGAGCAATTTTAAGGTAGTTGTTGATGTATATAATGCTATATCAGGATCAAAATGATTGAGTCTTGGGGGCATCTTTGTTGTCTAATTTAAAATTATGCAACTAGCATTCCAGTTTAAGCAAAAAATGCAAAAATAGGTGTAATCCCTATTAACCCGAAAATTGCGGTTAATTGGGACGAAATGAGAAATTTGCTAGGGTTGGCACTACTTTTATTTTTATATATAGTTTTAATTTATTTATTTATTTAGTTGCACCAACAAAGTGATCATCAATAAAAAAAATTGAAAAACTGACAAAAGTACATGGCAGACATCACCTCAATTATAGGTGCAATCGACAGTGCTGATATTTCTATCTGGGTTAAGAGATTAGGTGTGTCGGTTATTCCATGGATTAATCAGATGAATACCCCCACTCTGAACAAATATTAAATATTTTATTATGTATTACTTAGACATTTTTGTCCACCTTGAGATTTCATTGATCTTGTTACATGTCTCTGCAAAATCGACTTACTTATATTAAATTGCTTATCTATTTCAACTAAAGACTTATTCCCAATTTCGCTTCGAATAAACCAGATTTTTACCAACAAATTTAAAAAATATTGTTATAACTACATAGACAACCCTACAAACCTGTACCTATTTATACTTAGGTCGTTTCCATTTCACGTATTCTCATCCCAATTGACCCCTTTTTCGTTGTTATTTGTACCTAAGACGTCCCCAATATCCCCAAAAACAACAGATTTTTACATGTATTTTTATTTAATCAAATACATTAAAACCAATAACAACTGAGACTTACCTTTAATATATATGCTGGTTCAAACACTAAATAACGTTTATAAATCATAGTCGTCTTCTATTATTATCAAATAAATAAAAGAGAGCAAAGTTTCTAGCACTAAAATAATTACCACCACAGGAAGTTAATTTGAAACGCGATTTTTTATAAGTTAGCAGCTATTATCATGCATATTCAGAGTTGTTTTGTGAACTTTCAACATTCTACTATTAAACTACAAAAAATGGAAGATTTTGCAACGAATATAAAACTTATATTAAGTGTCGAAAGATTTTCCCGGTTTTTTCCCGATTCGCCTTTCAATCCCTAATCGCCCCATTTTACCGGTACTATTGCTGAAATTGTTGACGTTGACAATTCCCTAACAAATTATAACAGTAATCAATGTCATTAGAATCATATGTCAATCGTGACTGTCCACGATCAGAAGTTGCAATTGCTTGCCAGCTTGGTATCTTCAAAGGTTTACCTTGCTAAAATAATTATTTTAAACAATTACACGAAATTCGATCATGTGATAAGTGCCGTAGTATTTTTATATTAATAATTATTGTCGGTCAACTATACAAAGTGCTCTGAGCTAGGTTCTATTAATAGTTTTTTTTTATATAATTTGAATATGCTGTGAAAATTTCATGTAGTGACCAGTCTAATTAGATTTTGAAGTGGCGACTGCTATGGGGCAAAGTCCGAGCTCAATGAGGAACAAGAACGGTCGACACCGATCGTTCAGGAGTTTCGTAAGGCGAAGCAAATTGAACAAGTCTAGCTTGAGCCATACGTTCAGTTTGCCGCCTTCAGAGGAGTATCCGGAGCTAATGAACATCAATGCAGCAACTGAGGAACAGCTGATGACCCTTCCGGGCGTGAACAGGCAACTGGCTCGAGAGATAGTACGCCACAGACAGATGATAGGTCGTTTTAAGAGAGTTGATGACCTTGCATTAGTCTCAGGTAAGTCTACAGCCTTCTCATTAATACTATAAAGTATCTTATTGTTCATTTTGCGCAAATAAGAATCAGCTATTTAAACAAGGTTTGTTAAACTTTGAATGTGGAGATCAAGAAAACACTTGAATAAAAAAAAAACAATAAATAATGTAAAAATTAAATCTAGTAATCGGTATTAAAGAATCCTTGACATCGTTTTTTTTGCAATCAAAGTGTGTAAGCAATAAAAATAATAATGGCTGAAGACTCAGAAGCTCAATATCATTAGTCTTTTTTTACATGTTTTCATAATTTGCTGAATTATCAAGTCATTCAATCTTACAAGCACAACTTGTGTATGAAATGGAGAAAAATCGAACGAGTTTTGTAGATAAATTTTGTTATTCCGATTTATCATTTCAGCTTCTTGTTACTCATCTACATATTTGTTTGGAAAGAAGTGTTCATTTTAACCAGTATTCAAGGTTGCACAGTACACTTACAAGGTTACTAATGTAATAAAAAATAGGTGTTTTTGTCATATTGTTTTAATGTATAGAAAAATAATACTACAATAATAAAAGAAGTAAATCATACAACATTTAAGTATGTGTTGAAATAGGAATGATATACAGAAACTTTAGTCATTTCATTTTCACAATTCAGCAGACAAATGACAATAAATGTATCATTATAATAACATGACAATGTTATGTTTTAAGTGAAAAAAAAGAAAACATTTTTATGAAAATATTACAGTTGCATTGTGTTTTATACTTTCCTTATTTAGACAGTGCCATTAAAAATTTGAAGATAAAACATATACACCCTTTGTAGGTATTGGAGCTGATAAACTAGAATTACTGAGACCAGAAATATGTACGCACACAAGGAAACAGTTGTCACGGGCCAGCTCCTGTGCACACTCATTAGATAGCATACGTTTGCCCTCTGAAAGCAGACTATGTTCTATCAATTCATCCAGTGTGTTCCAACTGCAGTGTGTGCCTGGACTCAACCAAGAAATAGCTGCAAATATTGTAGATTACCGTAATAGAAAAGGGCCTTTCAAATCATTGGATGATTTAATAAAAGTTCGTGGTATGGATATTGTCAGGCTAAGTACAGTAAAACAACACTTGAGCCTGGAGTTACGTAAATCTGAAAGTGTCCAGCACTTAACTAATGGCCATGTAAATGGATGGAACGATGATAACATGCTCCAACAAAATGGAATTTCTCCAAAGACGCCACATCGAAAAAGTTTATCAATGCCAACAAAATTGACATTACCCAATGGCTTTGCCACTGCTCCAGTAAATGATATTCTAGATTTACTCTCAGCTTATTCACATAGGCCAGTTGTAGAGGAAGTTTTCACATATGAAAGAGATGGTGTTCGGTGCTGTCGACTGGCATCTTGGAATCTTCATCAGCTTAGTATAGACAAGATATCGAATCCTGGAGTAAGAGAGGTGATTTGTCGAACCATTTTAGAAAACAAGTAAGTTCACATCTTTATAAATACATGCGTTATAAAATGGAAAGTATTTACTGAAAATAATTTGGTATTTACAACTAATTGGAAGTGCTATTTATGTCCAATATTGTGTGTTATAGTATTGTAAAATGTCATATAGTAGTATTTTTCAATTTAGGTGAATTGAAAAAAAAAAATAAGCAATTATTTCTGTCAGGAACTCAAATTAAAATACTGGAAGTATCATCATTTTTGTCTAAATATAAATATGAAACAAATATTGTCACATGTCATATCATGTCTAGAAACAATACTTTTATCATTACAAATCAAATAATGAATTTCTATTGTTGTCAAGCTGTTGATATCGTAAGCTTTTTATCATTGTTCTCCATGTTAATATGACAAAGCAATCTCTACTCAAGATATTAAATGTTACGAAACAACCAATGTGATCTTATTTTTATTTATTTATTTAAATCAGTACTTAGTATTGAACTTTGACCAAAAACATTTAATAAAATAATTATTACTAATATACAATTAGAACTGATAAGAGCATAATAGTGTTTTAATTAATAATATGACATGCTTCAGTAGGCGAGTAGATAAGATAACTAATTTCTGTTTCATTTAAAAATAAAACAACAGAGTTGTTTCCAAAAAAAATTAATGAGTTTTTATAAATGAAAACTATGAAAAAAAAACAAAAAATTTTTTTTTGTCTTAGTTATACATTTTTTCTTGCACTTGACCTTTAAATATTTATTGTTGTACTACTGTGTAATAAATATGATAATATTATTACAATTTCATACTTTATGGTACATGCTTGCTCTCAACACTGTAGAGAATGAAACATGGGATATATCCCCATTGCATCAAACATATCTATTACTGCCAAAGGGTAACGAGCAGCCCAACATACAAACATTACATTTGAGGTTGAAGCTTCAATTGGGACTATAAGAGCTGTAACGGCTCTCATTCCTAACACTTCAACATATGACTGCTTTAAACCAAAATAAGGTAGACTCACAAAACCAGTACATAGGCACGCACAAGCTATGCTATTCTCTTATAACATAGACAGTCTATGTTCCGGAATTTGATACATCTTAATAATGCAATACAAAATCTTTGTCAACAGATTATCGCTAATAGCCATCCAAGACATGTTGAACGAGGCTGCTCTTAAAGTGATATGTGACGAGCTGAATTCTCCCGTACTAAGAAGGGTCAAAGAGTGGAAGAACAATGGGCACAAGTGGGAGTATCGTGTTTCAGGGACAAAGAACAGGTGAGGAATAGACTTAATGATTGTAATTAAAAAGTTAATTAAAATCTGACTTTTATAGTGACTTGACTACTTAATGATCAAACTTAAAAATGGGACCTTGAGAGTATACCGTTTTAAGCGAATACATTTCTAAATGTATCCACATAATGGTGAAAAAACTTAAAAAAAATACTTAGTTGAACATAGTATCTCCGATTTTTTTTTAAGTCGGTTTAAAATTTCACACACCACATCCCTGTGTTCACGCATTCTAGGGATGCACTAGACACTCTTTTTATTGCTGAGTTTGTCGCAAAATTTAAATCGCGAATAGAAACATTTTCACAATTTAACATCTCGTTTATGCTAAAATTTGATCGAAATCAATTAAAATAAAACACGTGATTACAATGTACCAACGTTATCAAATTTGCGAAAGTCATTCTCTGAAGTCGGCTCACGTATGGCGTTCACGAGGAAAAGTTATCAAGGGCGTTATTATCTCGTCTACGAATACGTTAGAATAAGAAGATTCTACGAATTGTACATTATTTTTAGACGGTAGACGGCCTATTTGTAAATTTGTGTTCGCAAAGTCTTTGAAATCTACGATGTTCAAATCTAAGGGCATAAAGAAAGTTGGATGTGGCATAAACTTGGCCTAAGAGATAAGACGTTCGGTGCATTCGTGTTGAGCGATGCAACGGTGTTAGAATCCCAGGCGGGTACCAATTTTTCTAATAATTACGTAATCAACAAATATTCACGATTGACTTCCATGATGAAGGAATAACATCGTGTAATAAAAAATGAAACCCGCAAAATTATAATTTGCGTAATCACTGGTGGTAGGACCTCTTGGGAGTCCGCACGGGTGGGTACCACCGCCCTGCCTGCTTCTGCCGTGAAGCAGTAATGCGTTTCGGTTTGAAGGGTGGGGCAGCTGTTGTAACTATACTGAGATCTTAGAACTTATATCTCAAAGTGGGTGGCGCATTTACGTTGTAGATGTCTATGGGCTCCAGTAACCACTTAACACCAGGTGGGCTGTCTGCTCGTCCGCCCATCTAAGCAATAAAAAAAACCGATGCATTTGTATTCGTATTGTCTCGTTACAAACAGAATACGCCTTCATTGTTTCAACATCATAGTGTTGAAAAAGAAAAGATAATTGTTGACGAAAATTTGTTTTATCGATCGGCCTATTGTCGTGTCGAATGTTGCCGTCGTTGATTGATTGAGGACCATTTTTTGCATATGAGGGCTTTTCAAGGCAAGATTGGACTTCTTTACAGTACGTATGAGACACGATAAGCCTCATAAAGGACCGTTTTTGAAAATGAGTCATGCCCATAGAGATCTGGACATAGTCGCCTCCCGTTTCGAGTGAAAGAACCCGGTTTTGACTTCCGCATGAGAGGACAGTCGCGTGTGGGTCATTTTAAACCGCATAGCGCGGTCGCATTTAAGACGAAACGAATTATTTTCTGCCGCGTACTTTTCTTCCGTTCCCGATTGAAGATTCTGTCACAGCACTATTCAGAATTCGGTCTTTTTTCTCGAAGCGGGCTCTAATGCTCCGACACTAATGGCGGCTCAGTCGGTAGTGTGATAGTTAGAGCTCCGTGACTGTAGCACCGAGGTTCATGGGTTCGATTCCCGCAGCGTTCAAACATCCGTCTGATGGATAGGTTTGTTTGTGTTTTTTCTGGGTGCTTACTATCTAAATATGTATAGATTTAAACGTATATAAGTATGTGTGTCAATCTCTGGTACCCAGAACACAGGGAATCCTAATTTGGGCTCAAATGACCGTGCATCATTTGTTCCGAGCTATCTATTTATTATTATTATTAGTAATTGAACTATGAGCTCCTCTAGCCAACTATAGTATTAAAGACCAGAATTCTACTTAATCTCTTGTAACGCCACAACGACATACTGATGTTATTATCAGTGTCTGTACACTGAAGCAGCGAGGTCATTACCAAATTATTTGATTGTGAAAATCGTATATTCTTTTTTTAATTTTTATTGCCCTTGTAGGCAGACGAGCATACGGCCCACCTGATGGTGAGTGTTTCCCGTCGCCAATGGACTTCAGCAATGTCAGGGGCAGAGCCAAGCCGCTGCCTATCTATTATTGACCTTATCAACATTTTGGACATATCACACGTTTTATATTACGTGAAATACCCGTTACACACGTTATTCATATATCTATCAATGCGACCACGCCGTGCGTCGGAAGGAAATACGTGCCTAATACATATGCACGTTCATATACGTCTTCCACGATGAAGTAATAACATCGTTTAATAAAATGAAATCATCAAATTTTCTGCGGCACACGTGGCGGTATATGATGAATCCTTTAGCACACCTATTTATGCCGCGAAATTCAAGACAGGTGACAGTTACGTTGTCAAAGTTGTCACGTGACTCAAAAGAAGCGTTCCGATTGTTTATTCGATTTTATTGTCTAGAAAATACCACAAAACTCTCGAAACATTTCCTTTGTAAAAGACACTCAGTAAATATTTCGTAATTCCACATACGAAGCATTAATTACGTCCTTAACGAATTAAGTACGATTAATTTTCCATTGTTATCGAATGATAATTGTGTAGCGGTGACGCGGTGTTTCTTTACTGCAGACGTTTCTTTAAATATTTAAAGCATTGCAGAATGTCAACATTGTTGTTTGATTTTCGTGAATTGAATAATGGAAAGTTTTCGTTTTTATGAAAGCATTTGTTTGAACTTTACTTCAGTAAGTATGATAATATTTATGACTGATAATTAATAACGTGGAAATAAACCGTTCTAACTGTGTACACCTGGCTGTATATGGCCATATAGCATTACGGATCTTCCCGATCCATTAACAGTGCTTTTAGGTACCACAAGCACCGGTCACCGTCTTCGTCGAACCCGTCGCTTGCGACGAAGGGCTCGGCGAGCGAATTAACCCATAGACACAGCCCACTGCGTTTCTCGCCGGATCTTCTCAGCGGGTCGCGTTTCGTTCCGGTGGTAGATTCTGCGAAGCACTGCTCTTGGTAAGGCCAGTGTTAGCAACACTTCCGGTTTGAGCCCCGTGAGCTCACCTACATGTTAAGGTGAAGCTGAAATAGCTTCTCAAGGCTATCAGCATGGAAGCAGGTAGGAAAAAAAAAGGCCATATACATTTTTTTCAAACCTCACTTGACGAAGGATATCATAGCGTGCGTGGAGATCTAGAAGGCGATTTCATTTTAAAATCAGTTTGTATAGGCAGTGACCAAGGGAAGATCTTCCACAAAAGGGTGTGCTCTGTAGGCTAATGGTCCCAGAGTCAATTGAAACTTTTATTTAATACAAGGTTATCGTGATAAAGTCATTATCGTGATGCAGGCGTTAGTCGGCTTTCTGCGATTCTATCATACATAATATAAATTATCTCTAATATTCTCAGTGTTAACCATACAGAACAACCGGTATTCGTTTTTTTTTTATTTATTGCTTAGATGGGTGGACGAGTTCACAGCCCACCTGGTGTCAAGTGGTTACTGGAGCCAGATCATAGGCATATACGACGTAAATGCGCCAACCACCTTGAGATATAAGTTCTAAGGTCTCAAGTATAGTTCGAACGGCTGCCCCACCCTTCAAATCGAAACGCATTACTGCTTCACGGCAGAAATAGGCGGTGGTACCTACCCGCGCGGACTCACAAGAGGTCCTACCACCAGTGATTACGCAAATTATAATTTTTGCGGGTTTCATTTTTATTACACGATGTTATTCCTTCACCGTGGAAGTCAATCGTGAACATTTGTTGAGTACGTATTTGTGTAGTCGTTTGTGTAGTATAGTGTTCATCAATCTCAGTAAAAACGAAGTTCTGTTTTTTGAAATAGATTTAATTGCTTAATTGTAGATAGCATTAAAATGTACGAGTTATACGACAATAGATAATTAATTGTTTGAACAGCTGGTCGGAATTCTCACAGCCGACAATAAAGGGACAAAGTACTCATACATAGATCAAAGGCCGAATCACGATTTACGAACACTTATGTAGGGACGGCGTGTGAAATGATAACATAGTTAATGAGACGTTTAATCTCTACTTAAATATTCTAAAGCTGAAGACTTTGTTTGTTTGAACGCGCTAATCTCAGGAACTACTGGTCCGATTTGAAAAATTATTTCATTGTTAGATAGCCCATTTATCGAGGAAGGCTATAGGCTATATAACACCACGCAAAGACCAATACAAGCGGAGCACCAATAAATAATGTTTCAAATTCGGGGTTTTTTTTCCTTTTGAAAGCTTCCGCTGCGTGCGTTGCAGAAACGGTTAAAGTTTCGCTAAAATAATGTATGACAGAATTGTTTCCCTTTAAAAGGTCTTAAAAAAAGTCCGCGACAGCATATGTCTATATGTTAACTGTCTAAATGTCACTATAACGTTTTTTATGCTAACCAAATTTGTTCTAAACTAAAGCATTATTTGTGAACTATTCCACGCGGCCGAAGTCGCGGGCAAAAGCTAGTCTGTCTATAAAAACAGAATAAGTATAATATACCATGAGATGATTTCGATACGGAAAGAATGTACCTACCCTAATATAAGCGGAAAGTATGCGTTTTAAGCAGAAGCAGTAATGCGTTTCGGTTTGAAGGTTGGGGCAGCCGTTGTAACTATACTGTGACCTTAGAACATAGAACTTAGAACTTATATCTCAAGGTGGGTGGCGGCATTTACGCTGTAGATGTCTATGGGTTCCGGTAAACACTTCACACCAGGTGGACCGTGAGCTCGTCCACCCATATAAGCAATAAAATAAAAAAAGGCTTTAGGTTACGTGAAAATTGTACCACGTAGTATGGATTCGATTCCAGGTCGCGATTAGTATAGTAGTTTGTATTCTGCATCTGTATGCACTTGTTGCTTGTCTCGTTAGTGTGCAATGGAACATAACCCGCAATCTCTAACCATTTCGGTAATTTACGTCGTGTTCTCAATGAATCTACGAAATAAACTAAAACGCTAGCAGAGCCATGAAATTTTAAATCACTGATATAATCGTAATTCTGGTTAGCGTCTGGAGAAATCCAGTGGTTTTTTTTTCTTTTCACATGACGTTTTCTGAGAGGCGAAAATCGTAAATGATTTTGCATCACTAAAATAGCTCGACCCGGTGTCATATATGAGAAACGATGCCAATTTTCTGCAGAATTGTAAGCAGCTTGACGTACGAACGTCGATCGATGGATAAGCTTCGAATGCCGTAACGTGTGCACGGCTTTAGTTGGAATCCATTTATGAAGGACCCGAAATATTTCAGCCAACAACTCGGTTTTGTCTACGACTCGTCGCTGAAGGGGGTAACGGTTGAAGATATAGAGCTGGATCAGGTCTGTTTGCTGACCGAGGCCAGCGACATCAGAAGGCTTCTCTCCGAGCTGACCGCGTTGAGGAGCGACAGATATACTGCTGAGCCGCAGGGTGAGTGTTTTTTTTTATTTTTATTACCTTTGTAGGCAGACGAGTCAGCAATGCCAGGGGCAGAGCTAAGCCGCTGCCTACCATTAAGTACTTTCCGCAAGCCTCGTTTGAAGAAGGACATGTCATAACGCCCGGGAAACACCGTGGAGGGGAGTTCATTCTAAATGTGTCGAGATATGTTAATCTGTTTTCGAAATTCATGCTTTCTGGATCTTTATACAGTTGATTTGTATGATGGACAGCTGAGATCACCGGAACTCGTTGATACCATAACGTGAAAACTGATCGAAGGCACAGTTGCATAGTATAATATCAACATATGACATTTTACGGTAGGCAGCGGCTTGGCTCTGCCCCTAGCATTGCTGAAGTCCATGGGCGACGGTAACCACTCACCATCAGGTGGGCGGTATGCTCGACTGCCTACAAGGGCAATAAAAACAGGTCAAAGATACCGAATTCCCAGCAGTAATTCCAGAATACCGAAATCGTGTACTAATCTTGTGATCCAGTGAGTTGCTATAGCGTCTAATGTGTTGTGTTTCATCTCTAGTTGTGTAGAATATCGCGACAGTAAGTTTTCTCGTTAACTGTGTAATATGCAAGGTATATCTTATAGTTAATAATAGGACCTGTCCGTAATGACCAATTTCGCCGCGATGCATTCGTGTTACTCTTCAGACCGGTAGGGATGTCAGTATCATAACACTACTATATTGAAACCTTTACCTTATCTCTCATGACAAGCGGCAGCATTGGACAGTAGATAAATATTGTTTATGAAAAAAATAATCTTATTGATAAGAAAACAAGATATGCTGGTTTAATGCAAAAAACATGATGATGAACAATACGTACGGGCTCTTCTAATTAATTAAACTTGTTAACTGTGACATGACCATATATACAGTACTTAAAAACTTCAACAAAGACCTCATGGTTAATATGTGGGATCCTGACAACATCGAACTTAGTACTTTAACATCCGACTATTTGATTATTTGATCATTGCCAGACAGGGATTTCCCGATAACCCACCCCCAACACCCCCTTCTCCACAATTTGCTCGACCTTTGCCTTATTAAATCTGTGTACGTCCGCCGGTCATTGCTCGGTGCACCCCAACGGCACCATATTACCATATAGCCAAATTAACTTGGCTCCAAAATCTTTGCGATATAATGTATAGGCCACATCGACCGGATCAACTCGCCTCGCGTTCACGCACGGAAGGATAAACGGAAACCGCATTAGACAAACGTAACCGTGCGATTACGTGCCCGTTAATATTTCTTTAGCACGCCAGACGTGCACGAAATGTCGAACGATCGTTTCAAGTTCTCGATTCGGTCATGTGGGACGTTGTTTGTGTACCTGAAGGGTTTGAATTAATTATGCACGTAGGAAATGGTGCGTGGCTATGCGCTTGCGCGATACCAACGATTATTTGTTTTTCATTAGCTGACATGATACCAGGCATCTGTTTATAGACAACCCGAATCTAGTACCCACCTGTGGGCATTAGTTCGAAGCACGATTATTTCAGCCTCCAGATAGGAATTCGTTTCGCGCTGAAATAAAGTAATATTATTTATACCCGGACTGTCCCGGACTCGCATTATCATCTTTCACCTCAAAATGGAAATATGAAAGAGAAAGATTAGTAAAGGAGCATACCTACATATATATATAAACCCCGATATCTAATCTCGCTGACAAATCTACTCCAGGTGGGCCGTATCTACTATTTCTTAACATAATCTCTGGTAGGCTAAGGAACTATTCCAGCTACTCATAGTCTCATAGAGCTCACGGGCTCAACCTGAGAGAATTGCTAACACTGGCCCTAGCAAGAGCAATGCTTTCGCTGAATCTACCACCAGATCGAAATCACGACACACTGAGAAGATCCAGCGAGAAACTCAGTGGGTTGTGTCTATGGACTAGGTAGCATGTCGAACTCTCCGTTCGACGAGAACGCTTGGTGCTTGCAGAGCCTAAAAGCAACGAGCGTGGATTCAGAGGATCCGACAAGACTTTTGGTGACGGCGCGGCGGCTTTGCGTTGCCCCGTCGCCTGAGCCGGATTTGAAATTTGAGGCGACCACGGTCAGAGAGTTATCAAGAGTCGTATCGTCTACCAACATTGACATTGAAAAAAAAAACTAAATTTATATTCAATTTAAATTACTTTTATGGGCTTAATCTCGCTATTTTAATTGTCAGCCACCGATGACTGAGGTGTTATTTATCGACATTTCAATGTAGTGCGTGCTAACTAACGTCTTATTTTCTATAAAAATAGTTTTTCCAGACCTTTACATTCCATTTCGTTACTTGTACGACTCGCGAAAACTGGATAAAATACTCATCTATACTCATAATAAATGTAGATGGTGTTTGTTGAAAAAAAAAAGATTTCAACGTCATTTGTTGTTCAGGTAAAATAATATGCACAATAAAACAGGAAAAACCGTTTTTGAAGAGGCACCGCTTCTTTAACAATGTTTGCGAGGAATGATCTAATTCGCATTTGCATAATTGGTTTAATTCGATCGTCGGTCTGTGTGAATTGATTACGCCCATGGTCTTTGCAGTTTTAGTCTGGCCCACGCTAATTTTAGCGCGCCTCGTTGCCATGGTTTTTCTGGGTAATGAACTAACTGACTTTTGTTTGTAATTATCTGGTCAATTTGGAATTTGATGTCCGTTTAACGTTATCAAAACTGTTCTGTACTTATTTATTGACTCGGTGGTGCAGTGGTTTGCGGTTTTGACTGTTGTGCCGAGGGTCGTGAGTTCGATTCCCACCTCAGGAAAACATTGTGTGGAGAAAAATTTTGTTTGCTCTTTGTCTGGGTGTTTACTATATTTATGTTTGTCAATCTCTGGTACCCATAACACAGGGAGTCCTAAATTGGGGCGGGATGACCCTGCGTGATTGGTTCTCAGTTATTTATTTGTTATTGATCAGTTATTATTATTCGTCAGGGATTCGTAAAATTAGCATTTTTTTAAAAGCCATACTTTACAGTTTACACGCTTCTTTTTTCCTACCTAAGCTGGTAGCGTAGAGAGGCTATTCCAGCGTAGTTTACACCATAGTGACATCGCAACTATGAAATTTCTACCAAATATGTGTCATCTATTTTTCTCTGTTCATCTTTTGTTCTTTCGTATTTTTTAATTTAAATTTAATCCTGTAATTATCATTTATCTCAACGCATATGAACTTACTTTATTTGTATTTAAATGCAAAGATATCCAAAGAGACCTTTTCGACAAAATGTATTATATTTACATTAAACTGTAATAAAAATAATGTTTATTGGATTGGATGGCTTAATGCAACAGGTGATTGAAAAATGTTGAATATTGTAAAATTTAAAAAAAAAAACTTTATTTCTCATTAATCACATAAACATAAGCACTTATCATGATATTAATCTTCTTCTTTTTCTCCACCTCATCCCACTAGGTGGGGTCGGCACCGCGAATTTTTCTACTCTATTCTCTTCTATCAGCCGTCATCTTAACACTCATTCCTCTCTCACTCTCATATCGTCTTTCACATACTCCTTCTTCGTTCGACCTCTTCCCCCTCTGCCTTGCACTACCATTTCCATACATCTCCTAGTCACATGTATCTTCTCTCTACGCATCACATGTCCATACCACGCTAACCGTCCGCTCTTTAATTTGTTAGTTACTGGGGATACTTTCACACTTCCTCTGATATACTCATGATATTAATGAACTGTAAATAGGGGGAAATCTGAAAGTGGCACCTATGACAGAGGAGTTGAGAAGTGCGCGTTTGGGATGGTATGGACATGTGATGAGCCGAAATGAAAATGAGGTTGGTAAGAGAGTGTTCACTATAAATGTGGAAGGATATAGAGAAAGAGGTACACCTAAGAAGAAATGAATGGATTGCGTGAAAGACGATATGTGTTAGAGGGGAGTGAGCGAAGAAATTATATATATGACAAAGGGGGTATGGAAGGAGAAAACATGTTGCGCCGACCCTAAGTGACGGGAAGAAAGACAGGAGAATGATGATGATGATGATGATTAATGAATTGTAAATAATCCAAATTATAATATTTACACCGAATTTGAATCAGACACCTAGTTTACAGCTTCAAGCTAAGTAGTACGGTGTAAATATTCCCAAGTTTTACGAGGAAGATCATTTAAACTCGCACCGGAGTTTGTTGAGTTTTCGTTTGCGAGAAAACTAAACGTGCGTTCCGTGTGTGAAATACACGGAAACTACTAAATCGGTTTATGGGGAAACGCGAATAGTAAATTGAGGAATGTGACATTAAATTTTGAGCAAAATTAACTGTTGGCTGTGTGAAACGAATATATGTAGATCTAACCTTCTCCTTGTGTAATAATGAAAACTAGAGGTCCCGCAGTTGTCGAAATTCGACTATAATTGTAATTGTAAGTTTGTACACTATTATGATTGTATTTTATACTTCTATTAACCACAAAATTCGCCAAGGCTACACTATAAAAAAATATTAATAAAAAAGACAAACAATATTTAATCAATTCTCAATTTGAATTTGTGATTAACCACAAATTTCGCCAAGTGGTCAACCACAGACGTCAAGAACAAAAGTTTGACAATAAATAGTATGCATGCGTGTGTGCGTCAAATACATGGTATGTAGTGTGTGTAATGTTTTCTTTATTGATTTAATGTATCCTTTATGCATTATTTTAAAAAAATATTTGCATTGTGCACTTCTTCTCTATATTCTCTATAAGTGTGGAAAATTTCATACTCCTCCGTCCGCGCAATTTTCGTAAAAAGGTATACAAAGTTTTTGCTTCACGTATTAATATATAGATGATCGTTTTCATTATTGTCCCCTGTTATATCTTAGTTAATTAGTGAAGTCAAAGATGTAATTAATTAACACACAATTTCTTGTTTAACACGCGCTTTATTCACAGACCAGAACACAAATTAAAGATAGCCCCTAA